TTCAAAAGAACAATACACATTTTAATCCTGGTCCAATTTCACGTGCATTACTATTTTTCAATCTACTGTTGCAATCACTGTGTTAAATTACCTTGTTCAATGTCTTCCTTTTTTTTTTTCTTCTTTGACTCTCTACATTATCAAGCATAATGTCTTTATCCAAAGATGCCTTCTTCCTGGTCAAAAGCATGTTAAAAGGACCTGAGGAAAATTATCAGCATCCTTACATTTAGAGACTATTCTGGCTGTATAGTTTTTAAAAGGTTCTTTTTTTTATTTTATATTGGTTTGCTTACAAAGTTCATATACATTGTGTTTCATGCTATTCTTCATTCACATTGCTTTTTATACAATTGTTTATATTCATTATGTTTTATAAAATTAATCACCATTGGACTATGCCCTCCATTACTTGGCTGTATCTTTTCCATTTCCTTTATCTTCTCCCTCCACCTACCAAATTGTGCAATCTTGTGATTTTACCCCTACCCAATAAATATGGATCTCTTCCAGTCAGTTGGATAAGTAGTTGTCCTACATGCAATATATTCATATTATTATTATTATTGTGTACTGTCAAGTCAAAACAGACCAATAGCTGACCCTCCAGCAAGTTTTCAGAGACAGCTAATCACATGGGAAGAGATTTTCATCTTAGTCCCACAGATCAGCTGCTTGATTCAAACCACATGCCTTCAGGACTGCAGCACAGTTTCTTACCATGAGGCCTCCAGAGCTCCTGCATTCATATTATACATATTATATCATATACACTTCAATACTATTAGCATTTTGGGCCCAAAATTATTTGTTTTAATGGACTATTTGTGAATTGTATGGTGTCTAATAGCATACTTTCTTCACCAATGATAACTGCATTAATTTAAAAAAAATTATTTATTTATATACTTATGATGATGATGATGGTCTTTTTACTATTTCTTATTGGGATGATGATAACTGGCAGGAAGAAGTTACACAGAAATGCAAGAGGTAGGTATGATGACATATTGTTGTTGTTGTTATGTGTCACTGAGTCGCTTGTGACTCATAGCGACCCTATGTACAACAGCCCTGAACTCTGCTCTGTCCTGGGCCAATCGCACTGTCTCCGATACACCCATCCCAATTACCCTAGTCACTGAATCAACCCACCTCATAGAGGGCTCTCCCCTCCTGCGCTGTCCATCCACCCTACCAAACATGATGTCCCTCTCGAAGGACCCGTCCCTCCTTACAATGTGTCCAAAGTATGTTAGATGAAGCCTCAGAATCCTTGCCTCTAAGGAGCTGCCTGGTTTAACCCTCTCCAGGTTGAATCTGTTTGTTTTCCTAGCAGTCCATGGTACTCTCATTCTTCTCCAGCACCACAGCTCAAAGGCATCAATTCTCCTTCTATCCTCCTTAGTCATTGTCCAACTCTCTGATGCATAACAAGTGATAGAAAAGACCATGGCCTGTATCAGACACACCTTAGTCTCCAGAGAGGCACCATTGCTCTTCAGTACTTTGGAGAGGTCTCTAACAGCAGACTTTCCCATTGCAATACATCTTTTCATTTCCTGGCTACTGGTGCCGAGGAAACCCTATGCAAAAACGATGACATATTAGGTAAGACAATGTGTTGTCAACCCAAAGGCAGGTGGTTCGAACAGGTGCTCCATGGGAGAAAGACGGGCAATTTCCTTTTATATGATTTGTAGCCTCTGGAAACCTGCAGGAAGATCATGGGTCATTGCTGACACAACAACACGTACAACAACAATCTAGAAATATATCAATAAATATATCAGCGGAGAAGAGATTACTGAGCCTAGAATAAAAAACCCTCAAAAATGTTCTTTTATTTTTTCATATTAAATAACTATTTAATTAACCCAATGATTAAATATGATCTTTTTAAAAGGGAGTGGTATTTAATTTCCATTTACCTATCCTGCGTTCTGTCTCAAGAGTCTCCAAGCCTCCTAAATGAGCACAGGACTGTCCCTTACACTTTCCCTTACTTCAACTAAGCAAATGTCAAAGGATTTACTTTTTCTTGGAAGTGCTATTTTTATGTCATGTTCATTGCCACCTCTCCTAGATATCCCTTATGTGACTTTAAGTCATTGACTCACCGCCTTTCTCTGAATAGACATTCCCTTTTCTTCTTATTTTCGTATTCTTTCCTCTTTGCAGAGTCTTACATTCCTTCCAGCTACCAGAACTTGGGTTCTTGACGAAATCAATGGCAGGCATGCTTCTTCTCAAAAAAGAAGTCCAGCTAATAAGCAGAAAGTTTTCAAATCTGTTTATAAATCTGAAATTACCTACTTCCATTTCTTTAAAAACATAGGTTATTTTATACTTCAGACTATAACACAGAAACTGAATTCCACAAGGGATAGCCTTTGTTCTGTTGCAGGTATATTTCTGGATCTTTTGATGGTAATTTCATTTATGGTGCAAGAATTCTCTCTCTCTCTGTGTGTGTGTGTGTGTGTGTGTGTGTGTGTGTGTGTGTGTGTGTGTGTAAGAGAGGCCTAGAGAGAAAGATAGGGAGAGAGAATCCTAGCATAGTAACATGTCTATGAATACTAATAGGTAATGTTACCCTAAATAACTTGAACTTCCACTGGCTGGCTTTTGTTCAAGAAATGCTAATCCTTTCAAGTACAGACCTATATAAAACATAGGAATTAAGGGGTCCACAGAAACCTCAAATCTCTTTTGCACACAAGGTAAAGATATTCTTAAATTAGTAGTATAAAATTATTTGGGGCTTACTAGCAAGGAGTCATGGAAAAAAATTCAAAAGATTTATTAAATTTTAACTAAAACTTACTGAATCAGTCATTATCAAACATATTACGTATATTTTAAATATCATATGATTGTAAAACTAACAAGAGTAGATTGCAATTCTTATTTTCGTGATTATTTTTCAATGTCCTAGGAGAAATTAATTTTTTCATAAAGACTACCATGATGGGGAAGAGAATAATTTCATTTCATAATAGTATTTGTCTGAAATAGCGGTGTTTTACTTACATTCTACATGAAAATATCTTTTTTCATTTAATGGGTAAAGTTCCATGGTGATGGACAGAAACTTTGCATATGATGTTATACTGTGTATTTTGCTTTGGGGATGACTGTAACATTTTTATATTAATATGTTAATAGTATCTTGACAATAACACGTTTATATTGTTCTTTGCATAGATTTCCTCTCTTAATTTCCGCAACAACCATTTGAGGTAGGTATTGTGGGGGAAGGATGCCTCTGAAGACCCATTGGAGGGTCGACTATTGGTTAGTTCCAACTCAACAATACTCAACAACAACACATTACCAATATCTACATTTCAATATACATCCCACATGGTAGAACATGGTAAGATTCAAACTCCAATTTCTCATCAAAACTAGAGGAAACCATTAATTTCCCAGAAATATAGGAAACCTGAAGAGAAAGAACAAGAAAGCATTTTTTTGGAGGGGGAAGAAAATCCCTTGAAGCATGTTGAGAAGGAGGTAAATATTTGATTATTTCATTTTGGAGTCAATGAAATGTTTAATGACTCTCATAACAATCTCATTTTTCTGAAGTCCTGTTGCACAGCAATGTGATGGACATACACCTAGGTACGACGTGGAATTGTACACAGTAGGAGGAAGGAGGGCTGTTCTTTCTTGGGATCAATGTCCTTTTTAACTAGGATAAACTGATGCCTGAATGATGGCTAGAAGCTCTGCTGGATTTTCAGGTCAGCTTGTTAGAGATGGTACGGTTGGTTCCCAGTTAGCTGAAGCAGTATGGTGACGTGACTTTTTTTTTCTTTCCTTTTACTATATTAAAGTCAGGATGAGGTAAACACAGATGAGGGAAGTAATTTGTAAAAACTACTGGATAATGTCACAGTGACAGCACTGACTTTCGATACATTAAGCATTGTTTCAGGACAAGGTAGCAAAAACCAAAATGAACAACCTAAAACCCATGGATGTAACAAGGTGAATCAAACTATGCCCTGCTCAGTGGCTAAGAATGTGGATGGCCATGGCAGATTTGCTGTGGTTCTGGTTACCTGGCTTATGAATCATTGCACCTGATTTTCTCTTACCTAAGAAATAATAGTGTCCACATCACAGGGTTGTTCTAAGGATTAAAGGAACACAATTGAACCTCTAGGACAAGTGTTTGCCAACTAGCAAATATAGGCGTTATAATTTTGATGCCTGCTAATGATCCCAACCATCTGAATGAGGGTAATTTTCCTGAGTCTTACTAATCACTCTCACTCTTCTGTTTCTCGCCACAGCCCTGTGAGGCAGGCAGATATTATATTGCCTTTTGGCTGATGAGGAAATGGGAGCTGAGGGGATTGAGAGAGTTTCCAAGTGTCAGAGTCTGCAGCCAGATCAGGCTCCTGGCTCTCAGGCTCCAGCTAGTTCTACTATAACTTTGTGCTTTTATCTGGGATAAAGCCTCAGATTGGAGGGCTGCCCTACATTTGCTCTAAATCCTGGTTGCTTTCCCATGACATCCTTAAGTCTACAATCTACAAGATATTCTTGCCACTCCCAATACTATACTATACTGGACAGATAGGGGTTTTTTTTAAGACTCCATTTCAAAGGTCAATTGAAATAAATCTCAGACTCTTCAACACAGTGATGTGCTGCAATTCTTAGGAGAGCAAAGGAAGAATTTGCAAAATAAGAAAATTCTCACTTCGGGGTAAGCTTCCAGTATTTCCGTTTCTTCATGCATGTGGTAGACTTAGTAATGTTTACTGGTCTTTGACTTTGCTCTGTAAAATCAGGCTTACAGTTCCTCTATTGGCTCCTTTGCTCTCCCAGGGAGCTAAGCTGAAAAGCAAGCTTTCCTCTTGGCTCCGCAGACGCCAAGGCGATAAGCTTTACGTCCTAGAGCCCTCAGGGAGTTGAGGACTTGATCCGCGCTGAGTTACTCGGGTCCCTTCCAGCTCTTTCTCTTCTAGAAGGCTCCGGGTATGGACGTGTGTCTGAGTTCTGCACAGCAGCCTAGGCACTTTGGGGAAACACCGAAGACCCCAGGCGGCCAGTTAGAAGCAAAGAAAAAGGAGGCACTCCAGAAAGATGGCACCGGGGGACCCCCAGTAGGTAACCTCCTTATCACCACTTCAATGTCTTCTCAATTGTTTCTTGGCAATATTTTCAAGTAATTTCAATGACCAGAATTTTCATTCCATTTTCTTGCTACATTTATCTTTTACCAAAATTAAGTAGGAAAATGTCTTTGTGCAACTGTATAGACAGCATTAATTTCTGGGTTCCCCCCCCCATTATTTACTTGTTAGTATCTACAAATTTATTTTATCTTGTGTAAAAAATCTAAGGCTTTTATAAGTGTTATAGTGAGAACTTGTTTTTTTTCAAGAAACTAAATCTAGAATAGTTTCAGCTTTTAGCCCAAATACATTCCTGGCAGCTGCAACATACAGAGTTGTTGTTGTTGATTGCCTTCAAGTTGAGCACGACTCACAGTGGCCCTATAAACAAAAGGCCTGAAGCCCCTCTACAACTATCGACATTTATCAGAGTTCACAGAGTTTACAGAGGCATGTTGTTTAGGAAGTGGATGCCACTGAAAATGTATTTTCCCATTAAGAAAATATAATAGTTTAGGGTTGTGCTTCTGGGTGAACAGTTTAGTAGCAAATGAATGATATTTTTGTCAAATAACATAACAAAAGCAAAAATATATAATTTAAAGCATTTGCAGTAATTTAAAATGGTAAGATTATGTTTTAAGTCCACTAAACCAGAATAAGTTGTTTGTTTTATATGAAAAAGTTTACATGAAAGTATAACTAAATATGAAAAACCTAGTTTCTCTAAAACTTTCAGGCTAGCATAACACACTCACTGCTGGGGAATCTGGTCAGATTCATAGTGACCCTCTGTTTGGCTTTTTAAAAATTTTTTGTTTGTACTGGTTTACTTAGAAAGTTTGTATACATTGTTTTTCACACTGGATCTTTCCCATTTCCTTTACCCACCTCTCCTTCCATCCATCCAACTGTGCAACCCTATGAATAAGCTCTACCCCTACCCTCACTCCTGCTCATCCTACCCCCTCTGCTCCCCATTTCTTCCTTGAAGCCTCATACATGTTCTACAATAAGGGTCTTATACAGTATTTGTCTTTATGAAACTGAGTTAGTTCACTTAGCATAATGCTCTCTATTCCCTCCCAAGTTAGGTATTGATTTACAAAGTCGTTGCTCCTGTGTGCTGCATAGTATTCCATTGTGTGAATGTAATTTCTCAATCCATTTGATTGTGGTTGGACAGTTGGGCTGTTTCCATGTTCTTGATATGGTGAATAATGTGGCTATGAACATTGGTGTAGATGTCTTTGTGCCTCAGTTGTCATTTTCTCAAGATATATTTCAAGCAGTGGAATAGCTGCATCATATGGAATTTCTATGTTCAGCTTTTTGAGGAAACAGCAAACTGCCTTTCAGAGTGGTTGTACCATTTTAAAATTCCACCAACAGTGTATGAGAGTTCCTATCTTCCCACATCCTCTCCAACATTTATTACTTGCTGTCCTGTTAACCTTTGCCACTACTACTGGTGTGAGATGGTATCTCATTGTGGTTTTGATTTGCATCCCTCTTATTGCCAGTGACTCAGAACATTTCTTCATGTGTCTGTTGGCCATCTGAATGTCCTCCTCTGTATAAAATGGTGCAACCACTGTGGAAGGCAGTATGGTACTTTCTCAAAAAGTTGCAAATAGAAATACCATTTGACCCAGCAACTCCACTACTGGGAATATATCCTAAATAAACCAGAACTGCCACTCAAACAGATATATGCACACCCATATTTATTGCTGTGCTGTTCACAATAGCAAAGAGATGGAAGCAACACAAATTCCCATCAACAAATGAATGGATAGAGAAGCTGTGGTATATTCCCACATTGGAATACTATGCAGCACTGAAAGAAAAGGAACTCATAAAATATTATACAAAATGGGTGATCCTGGAGGACATTATGCTGAGTGAAATATCTCAGTTGCAAAAGGACAAATACTGCATAATACCACTGTTATAAAACAGGACTGACATGGGAGTTGGGGGAAAACTGAAAAAAAGAGGGGATAAATAATGAACACTGCATTGAATCAGATGAGGGAAAGAACTGTTTAAAAGGATATATGTTTAGGTAATGTTTGCATAACAGCAGTTGAGAATAAGAGCTGCATCACAAAGTGAACTGGGGTCGGGAGGGAGGAAATTGTGCAACAATGAAAGAATCTTTTTAAAGAGAAATGCAGACTGGGGGGGAGGGGACTAGGGAGGGAAATGTGCAAAAATGAATGAGTGAACGGAAATCCAAGTTTTCTATGAACTTTTGTTAAGGTATTAATAAAAAATTCAAAAATTAAAAAAAGAAGAAAAAGACTGATAATCTCTTTGCCTTTTGAAAATGTAACAGGAGGTTGTTTACCTTCTCCTGTGGAGTTGCTGGTGAATCTGAACCACCAGAGATGCACAGTTTGTTGACTGACTGTGCAACTTGCTTCATACAATGCCACCAGAATTCTCTCCAGCCTAACATGGTTACCACAAATAGCAAAAATCACATGCAAAAATTTATTTTTGTAAAATGTAGGAGAGTGTTGTAGAAGAACATGTGAATGCTTCTGTTTCTTTAAATTCATTGTTGTTACTGCATATCATGAGTTAGAATCTACCCAGATGTGACCCTCCAGCAGGATTTCAGAGGCACTTAGTTAATGGCACAGAAGGAAATTTCCCATCTTTCTCCCACAGAGCACCTGGTGGATTTGAACCATAAGCCTTTGATTTGCTAGTGCAATTCCTTATCACTAGGCCACCAGTGTTGACAATTTGGTCAATTTATTTACCTGTGAAATGATGCATGGACTCTGCTGATCTAGAGGTGGACAGTTCAAATCCCCTAACCTCATGTGAGAGAAAGATGAACCATCTCCTGTTCTGTCCATCCTCTGAAAACCCACTAGAAGGGCAACTATGAGTCAGTTCCCACTCAATAGGTGATTATTGGGAACAAAAGAAAAGAAAAATGATAAACTGTTCCATTCATTCAACTAATTTTTTTCTTACAAGATGGAATGGCCCAGTGACTTTAACAATGAGGATAGGTTAGAGCAAAATTCAGATCTGTTGTTCATAGCATCATTAGACATTATAGCTGGTTCTGAGGTAACCAACAAAAACAATATATCCTTGAAAAGAAAACAAGTCCCCAAATTGTATTAAGTCGGAGGATGCTGCGGGTAGCTTGAATTCAGTTGTGGTGAAGGGTGTTTCACCATGGGACTCAGCAAACCCTCCAAATCAGCCCTTCTCCCCCTCACACCCTCCCACACCCCACTGTTAAACACTTGTCAATACCCTGCTGCTTATCTGTCTGCTCTCTAAGGAGATCACAGTCACAATGGCAGGGCACTGCTGCTGTGGCAGTGGGTTAAAAAGCCTCAGGCTTGGCCCAAGCCCTGAAGGACCTGCTGCTCAGTGTCACCCACTCTAGTTACCAGCTGGCTCATTCTGATTCTTGAGCTTGAGAATTTTGTAATCCGGCTCTTAGGCATGACCACTTAATGGTGATTGTGCCTTAAAACTTAAAATATATAAACAATAAATTAAAGACAACATGATATTAAAAGCTAAAGTAATAAATAGTGAAACCTTCTAAAAGTTAAATAATAAATAGTGAAATAGTTAATTAATAGATAGTGAAAACTTTTAAAGTAATTGTTGTTGTTGTTATGTGCCGTCGAGTCACTTGCAACTCATAGCGACCCTATGAACAAACAGCCCTGAACTCTGCTCTGTCTTGTGCCAATCGCACTGTCTCCGACACTCCCATCCTGATTATCCCAGTCACTGAATCAATCCACCTCATAGAGGGCCTTCCCCTCCTGTGCTGTCCCTCCATCATCCCAAGCATGATGTCCCTCTCCAAGGACCAATCCCTCCTTACAAAGTGTCCAAAGTATGTTAGACAGAGCCTCAGAATCCTTGCCTCCAAGGAACCACCTGGTTTAACACTTTCCAGGATGAATCTTTTAAAGTAATAAATAGTGAAAACTAGTTATTTTCTTTCATTTTACTATCATATACTCTTGAGAGGCAAGGATTGTGAAGCTTTGTCTGACATATTTTGGATGTGTTGCAAGGCGGGACCAGTCCTTGGAGAGGGTCGTCTTGCTGGGGAGGTGGAGGGACAGCACAAGAGAGGAAGACCCTCTATGAGGTGGATTGATTCAGTGACTGGGGTAATGGGAGTAGGCATGTCAGAGAGAATAAGATTGGCACAGGATAGAGCAGGGTGTAGGGCTGTTGAACATAGAGGGTTGGTATGAGTCGCAAGTGACTTGATGGCACATAGCAACAACAGCATACTCTTGTGATTATATGTGTAGGGAATAAGCAGTATACTACTGTGTGCCATACACATCTCCTCCCAGTGATGCTGGCAACTTGAAATCAGCTGTGGTGGGGAATATTTTACCAGAGGACACAACAACTCTACAAACTAGTTCTTCTCTCTTTCCTAATTGGTTGGTAAACACTTATCAGTACTATTGTATGTCTGCTTTAGAGCCTCTCCTTCTGAGGAGTCCCAGTGTGTAATACATCATGCCATGACAGACTTCTCATCAAAGGCGGTTGTTGGTAGGTGCCATCAAGTCTATTACGACTCATAAGGACCCTCTGAACAACAGATCTGAACCTCGTCCTATCCTGTACCATCCTCACCATCTCTGCTATGCTGGAGCTCATTGTTAGTCACCTCAACAACCCATCTGGTTGAGGGCACTCGTCTCTCTGACTTGCCCAGCATGATGTCTTTTTCCTAGGATTGTTCCCTCCTGACACCCTGCCCAACGTATGAGTGACAAAGTGGTGTCGAGGATCTACAGCCTTGGAAACTGATGAGGTTCAAATCAACTCCACAGCAGTGGGATTTCTGTGTCCAACCCTGAGGTAGAAACTAGGGCCCCTGTAGTCATTCATAATGACCAAACACTGGGATAATTTTGGTAGATGTCAGCTGTTGTTGTTGCTCTTGCTATGTACTGTTGAGTCAGAACTGACTTACAGTTGATCCTTCTGTGGGTTTTCAGAAGCACTCAATTGCACAGGAAGAAATTGCCTATCTTTCTCCCATAGTACAGTTGGTGGATTTGAACCGTGTTTCTTTGCGTTGGCAGTGTAACTCCTTACCACTAAGCCACTAGAGCTCCCTTAGATTGTTGTTCTTGCTGTTAAGTGCCACCAAGTTGAGTACAACCCATAGTGACCCTAAGAACAACAGATCTGACCCCCGCCCTGTCTTGTGCCATCTTCAGACCTGCTGACACATGAAAGCCCATTGCATCAGTCACCATGTCAATCCACTTGGCTGATGGTCTTCCTCTTCTTCGTTGACCCTCCACCTTTCTGGGCATCATATCTCTCTCCAAGGAACAGCCCCTTCTAGCAACATGCCCAAAGTATGTGAGTTATAACCTTATCATTCTTGTCTCCAAAGAGCACTTTCCAAGACATATTTGTTCATTCTTTTGGCAGGCCATGGGGTGTTCATCACTCTTTTCCAACACCACAGCTCAAAGGCATCATCAATTCTTCTTCTGTCATCCCTATTCATTGTTCAGCTCTCAGATGCATAGCAAGTGATCAGAAAGACCATTACCTTAGTCAGATGCACATTAGTCCCCAAACTGATATCTTTACTCCTCAATAATTTGGAGAGGTCTGTAACTGCAGACTTGCCCAATGCAATATGTTTCCTGATTTCTTGACTACTGTTATCAAGCATATTAATTGAGGATACATGTAAGATGAAGTTGTTTCAATCTTTTTTCCATCTATCACGATATTGCCTATTGGTCCAGTGGTAAAAATCATTGATTGTCTTCTTGACATTAAGATGCAATCTATATTAAAGGCTGCAGTTTTTGATCCTCTGCAACAAGTGCTTCAAGTTCTCTTCACGTCCAACAAGCAAGGATGTGTCATCTGCATAATGCAGATTATTGATGAGTCTCCCTCTGATCCTGATGCCACACTCCTCTTCATAGAGTCCAGCTTCTTGAATAATTTGCTCAGCATACAGATTGAGTAGGTATGGAGAGAGAATACAACCCTGAAACACACCCTTTTTAATTTTAAACCATAAAATGTTCTCTTATTCTATTCACACAACAGCCTCCTGGTCTAGGAATAGGCTGTATATGAGCACAATTTAGTGCTCTGAGACTCCTATTTTTCTCAATGTTAGCCGTAACTTGTTATGATCCATACAGTCAAATGCCTTTGCATAGTCAATAAAACACAAATAGACATTCTTCTGGTATTCTTTACTTTCAGTCAAGATTCATCTTACATCAGCAATGCTATACCTAGTACCATGGACTCTTCTAAATCCTGCTTGAACTTCTGGCAGTTCCCTATTTATGTACTGTTCTAGATGACTCTGAATGATCTTTGGCAGTATTTTGCTTGCATGTAATATTAATGATACTGTCTAATAGTTTCCATATTTTATTGGATCACCTTTTTTTGGGAATGGGAACAAATATGGACCCCTTCCAATACATTGGCCAGACACCTGTCCTTCAAATTTCCTGGAAAAGACTGGTGAGCGCATCAAGGGCTGCATCTGTTAACTGAAACAAGTCAATTGGTATCCCATTGATTCCTGAGGTCTTAAGTTTTGTTAATGCCTTCAGTGAAGCTTCCACTTCCTCCTCCATTATTACTGGCTGTTAGTCAGTTCCTTTTGGTACAGTGATTCTGTGTATTCCTTCCATCTTCTTTTGATGCTTTCTGGGTCAATCAATACATTGCCCAGAGCATCTCTCAGTATTGTGACTTGAGGCTTCAATTGGTTTTTCATTTCTCTCAGCTTGAGAAATATAGAGTTCTTCCCTTTTAATTCTCCAATTCCAACTTTCTGCACATTCCATTATATTACTTTTCTCAAGCTGTCCTTTGAAATACTCTGTTCAGATCTTTTACTTCAGAGTGTTCCCCCTTTGTTTTGGTTTCTTGATGCTCTAGTGTAATTTTCAGAGTCTCTTCTGACATAAATTTTGGGGTTTTTTTCTTTCTCTTGTATTTGTAATGACCTTTTGTTTTCTTCATGATATCCTTGATGTCATCCCACAACTCATCTGGTCTTCAATATTGGTGTTCAGTGCATCAAATCTATTCTTAGACATTCAGATGGAATAGACTCAAGATTATATCTTGGTTCTCGTGGACTTATTTTCACTTTATTCAGCCTTCATTTGAACTTTCACGTGAATAATTAATGGTCTGACCCACAATCCAACCCTAGCCTAGTTTTGACTGACAATAATGAGCTTCTCAAATTATTATTTCCACAGATATAGTCAATCTGATTCCTATGCAGTCCATCAGATGAGATCTATGTATAAAGTCATTCGTGTTTTTTTTTAAAGTATTTTCAATGAATAAATCATTAAAAAGACAAAATTCAATCATTCTATTTCCAGCCTCATTTGTATCACTGAGCCCATATTTTCCAAGTACTATTCCTTCTTCACTGTTTCCAACTTTCACATTCCAATCACCAATTATCATTAATGCATCTCGATTGCATGTTCAGTCAATTTCGGACTGCATGATTTAATAAAAATTTTTAATTTCTTCCTCTGACTCTAGATTTAGGAGTGTGACAACAACAACATATCCTTGTAAACATATGGGTAATATCCTTTTACTCACAACATTGTATTTCAGAATAGAACTTGAAATTGACTTTTTTACTATGAATGCAATACCATTCTTCTGTTTTTCGTTACTAACATCGTATATCATATATACCCTATCTGAGATAAAGTGGTCTAAGCTAGTCCATCGCATCTCACTAATGCCTAGAATGTCGATGTTCATGTATTCCATTTAATTTTCAACATGTCTTGATGTCCAACATTCAAGCTATGTATGTTCTAGGTATTAATTATTAAATTATTAAATGATGTTTGCCATTAGTTTTCCTCATTTCACCTGGCTTCTGTTCTGGGCTCTACCACTACTGCTATAACTATCCACATTCCTCTACCATTCACATAGTTTTCAGAAGCCTGTTATTAGACGTAGATGTAAGTAGGCTCTCATAGTAAGAAGTATATGGACATTATAGGCCACCTTCTCACCCTACCAGCTCTCTACAATCCTCAACTAAGACATATGCAGCTGTAAATCTTTATGGGAAAAGACTGCTGATCTTTCACCCATTGAGTGAGTGATTGGTGGATTTGAACCATCAACCTTTTGGTTAGTAACTCAGAAGTTATGTAGTACAACACCATCGGGGTTCTTTTTAAAGGTGCCAGAGCATCTATTCAGTTAATTTTTGAATGGGCTGAGAATAGTGCTTCTGTTACACCACTGCAAAGGATTAGTTGTTTGTTCTTCCCCACATTCCATTTAATGCCCGTGACATTTTTGAAAGTACAATAAAAAGTAATTTCTAGTTTAAATAAAGAGGGAATTCTGGAAGTGTAGGGGATGGCTGTTGGAATTCATAGCGCTCAGCATTAGAAAGCTGGGCAGTGTTCTTCCATAAAGATTTACAACCTCAGAACCAATGGAGGGTCGCCGTGAGTCAGCTGGATGGCAGTTTACACAAAATGCAAGTCCCCAGGTCTTTGTACTGAGATTCAACAGTCATTGTCAAAGTGTAACATTTCTAAGCATTTATTTCCAATTTGTGTATTTAGTTTATGTAAACTAAACTTTTAAAAGATCAACCTCATTGCCATCAAGTCAGAATCAACTTTTAACTCTTAGATGGATTTTGAGAGGGCTGCAAATTGCATGAGAGGAGATTTTGCTCGCCTTTCTCCCTTGGGACAGCTGATAGATTAGAGCTGCCTGAGTTTGGGTTTGCAGTGTTAACTGTTTACTCAACAGGCCACCACAGTTCCTGGCTGCAAATGATTTGTGAACCAGAAGTGCAGCATTGTTTGAGTGCATAATGATGGTAGTGATTATTGAAACAACATGCACCATTCCTAATTAGGCTTTTCCAAGGCCTGCTTCCCACTCCCTCTACACTACACCCTCTCTGAACTATTTCTGATTAGAGTGTTTCAAATGCTAACTCTCCACTTCTTCTATTTCCATAAGACTAAATTTCATTTCCAGTAAGAATTTCCCAATCATAACCCAGGCAAGACAGGCAGAGTGCATGCAATTACAGGTGAACTTCTCCGCTTTCTCAAAAGTCTTCCTTTCCACTGCTGAACCCAGCAGGTTCCTTCTGCCTCCGACAGCCCCCATGTGTGGCTCTGCTCAGCATCCTCATTCCTGGCATTTTCACCCACTGCTGTTTTGCTTTTTAAATGCTATGAAAAGATTGCAGCAATTTCAGATTGCATCACATCAGCCCCTAATCCAATGTGCGTTTCCTTTCATTTTATATGATATTTGAGAGCTGCTATCGTGGGTCATGGGTTTAAAGGAGTATTTAAAGCCATAGTAACTTAATAGCCAGAGCTCATCTGACAGCTTTGCCCCAGACTGGAGTGGAGTTGGCTCTTCTTTGGATAGGCTGGACCTTTTGAGGAGTGGTTGTAGGAAGGATTTAAGGAACATGCCCTGGGCAGCACACATGAATGTTATTTCACTTGAAGACCTAAAAATAGCAGGTTCGTTTTTACTTAGGTCTTCGTGTCGTTTTACTGGTAAGCTAGTGTTCTATCATCATCAAAACATAGTTTGGAGGCTAGACCCCACTGCGTCTACACATCTTCTCTTCTCTCCTACACAGAGGAAAGGGCCCACGGCATCCTTTAGAGGTTTGTTAATATTTTTTTGCAAGTCATGTCTGAATTTTGTGCCTGGGTCAATCCACTTAGTTCCATTTGGGCTATTTTGCAGCCACTGCCATCGACAGTACTACCCAGACTGTTTATAGGACGATCACTTAATCTATTTCCATTTGAATAAGAACACCAAGTATGTATTTGCACTGGATTAATAATAAAACTTACTTTGTCTTCTGCCACACAGATTCTGACAGGATAGAATCGTCTCTTCAAAGCCTTCAGACATTCACACCTACAAATTATGCCAGCTACACTCAGGAGAATTATCTTTATGCAGGCAAGAAGATTGTAATTCAGGAATCAATAGAAAGTTATGGAGCCGTGGTGTGGCCAGCGGTGAGAGAGGCTTCTGTTATAAGGCCGGGATTTCTTAACACTTTCTTGTGCCTGTGCTGTCTTGGATGCTTTACCATTCTGCGCTTCTCAAACTTGGGGTGCTCTGTTGGCTTCATGGGAGCAGTGATGGTGTGCTTGGTTCTTGGCTCAGTATATACAGATCATTGCATCCTGAAGCATCAAATATTCACCATGCTGTGTTCTGAAAACAGTACCTTTGTGCTAAAATAAACGTGACTACTGTTGTTGTGTACTGCTAAGTCAGAATTGACCCATCACTGAACCTCTGGCAGGTTTTCAGTTATTTGCACGGGATAAAATTGCCCATCCTTTTCTTGCAGAGCAGCTGGTGGATTTGAACTGCCTGCCTTTGACATTGTAACACAGTCTCTTACCACTAGGCCACTAGAACTCATTAACATGAGTATATGGAGAGCTTATATTCAGAAGAAACCCATTTTTAGAGTTTAACTTTGCAGCAGGTATGTTGGCCCATGCACATAGAGCCTTGGGCATCCACACCTCTTACTCTATGACTCTTTCTGTAGAAATGTTTGGGAAGCACTATGTTACTTCGTGAAGATGAGGTTGAACTGAGGTTTTCTGTTATAGAAAAATATGTTTTGCCAGTTCTTCAAATACAGTCTGAGCTTTTATTTTCTGCAAAGAAGCTATTACAGTGTTCATATGTCAAAGGGCTATATGCTGCATACGGAGACTGACGGTGCCGTGGTGAAGTCATCTCCTACTAATGGAAAGGCTGGTGGTTCAAAGCCACTATCTCTGTCAGAGTGAGGAGGGTAGGGGAAGAGTTGGGAGAAGGCTCTGGACATCTAATCCCTTAAAGACACTATGGGGCAATTCTCTTCTCTCCTCTCATTGAATTAGCATCAACTAGATGGAATCAGTAACAAAAAACAAGGCATTCAACATTTTCGTATTCTTTAGCAATGTAAAACTATTTAATCTCTATAACTTGAGATGTGGTGTGCAACTGATACTGGTTTCCAATGTTCTAATGCTGAGGTGAAAATTCTAATTTACTTATTTTTATTTTTAGGCTACAGCTTTGTGTCAGTATCTGGAGGAACATACAGAGGAACTGCATCTCCAAGATGCTAAAATACTTGAAATTGGTGCTGGACCAGGCCTTGTTTCCGTTGTGGCTAGTATTTTAGGTTTGTTTATTCATGATCTCATCTCAAATGGCATTTACTGTGACAATGAGGAGTATTCATTATAGGTTGAGTGTTCTGATGGCATCATTGGTATTGTCTTGTGCTGTTAACACAAATACTGTGCCTAGTGGTTAGCTGGAATCCACTAGGGGCTCTGCAGAAGAACGATGAACAAGGCTTTTCCTTTAAGATTTACCACTAGGGGCTCTGCAGAAGAATGATGAACAAGGCTTTTCCTTTAAGATTTACAGCCTCGGAACCCTTATGGTCATAACGGGCCACCACTCACTTGATGGCAGTGATGATTTTTATGTGTTTGAGTTCAGGATCGTTTAGGTGCTTCACCCTAATTTCACTTACAGAACATCATTGTAAAAAACTAGAAATTTCTGGGGATCACTGGTGGCCTAGGGGCAAGAAGCTCCGCTGCAATCCCAAAGACACGCAGTTAGAATCCATCAGCTGCTCCTTGGGAGAAGGATGGGCATTCTCCTCCCATGCGATTAACTTCCTCTGAAAACCTCCTGGAGGGTCAGCCATGGGTCGATTCTGAGCTGGCGGTACACAACATCGTTATACCTAGGGGCCTTTGATGGCTTGCTTAGTCTATAGTGAGCTGCTGTGTAACTTCAGTGCTCTGAATTCATCAGCGGCCCCAGGTGCCCATCAACAAACGAATGGATAGAGAAGCTCTGGTATATTCCCACAATGGAATACTATGTTGTATTGAAAAGTAAGGAACTCATAAAATATTATGCAAAATGACTGACCCTGGAGGACATTATGCTGAGTGAAATATCTCAGTCACAAAAGGACAAATATTGCACAGTGCCACTGTTCTAAAATGGGACTGATAGTGGGGTTGAGGGGAGACTGAGAAAGAGGGGATAATGTATACTGCATTGAAACAGATGAGGGAGAGAACTGCTTTAAAGGTATATATGGTTAGGTATTATTGTTGTGACAGGAGTCCAGAATGAAGGCTGCATAGTGGAGTGGACTTGCAGGTGGGGGGATTGTATAACAATGAAAGGGTTTTTCTTTTCAAAGAGAAGAGCGAATTTGAGGGGAGGAGTGGGCAGGGAGAAAAGTCCAACAATGAATGAATGGAAATCCAAAGTCTCTGTAAACTTTCTTCAAAAGTAATAAAAATAAACTGCAGATGTTAAGAATTTAGCAAATTTAGTTAACTGTTGCACTAACTTATCATTAAAAGACAGCAATCTTGTCTATCTCAGTGATTTTTCAACTGATTTTGCTCCATAAGGGACAAGTGGCAATATCAGGAGGAGTTTTTTAATGTCATGTCTCAGAAGTGGGAGGACTGGAGGACACTTCTGTTATCAAGCTGGTGATAAAGAACGCTGCTAAACATTTTAGTTCCCCTTCTTCACTTTCCACCTCCAGAAATTACCCAACTAAAATAGATCAAACACATCCAGCCTAGATGTCAACAAAGAATCCCAATGCTGTGTTTCTCTGTGTAGATCAACACTGTGGTACTCAAATGTTAACAATTACTACTTTTCGTCTTAGGTGCCCAAGTCACAGCAACCGATCTGCCAGATGTCCTTGGAAACCTCCAGTACAATCTTTTAAATAACACACTAAAATGTGCAGCACATTTGCCTGATGTCAAAGAACTGGTGTGGGGAGAAGACTTGGAACAAAATTTCCCCAAGTCAACTTTCTATTATGATTACATCTTGGCCTCTGATGTGGTTTACCATCACTATTTCCTAGACAAGTTGCTCACCACTATGGTCTACCTTTGCCAACCAGGGACAGTGTTGCTTTGGGCAAACAAGTTCAGATTCAGCACTGATTATGAATTTTTAGATAAATTCAAGCAAGTGTTTGACACGACACTCTTGGCTGAATTTCCAGAGTCATCGACCAAACTTTTTCAAGGCATACTAAAATGGGACTAGATCCAACAAAATGCCTTCCCTAAATATAAGTGTGTCTTCTGAGCTGTGTTAGAATCTGTATTGGTAATAAAAGCCTAGTAGTGAATATTCTATAAAACTGAGAAGATAGTTCAGCTAGAATAATACTGCATTTAACTAGCTAAACCAAATATATAATGAATCTAAACTCTACAAAGATTAACATGGAGTAGTTTTACTGCCAAACTCAATTATTATGTAAATAAACTTTATATGAATTTTAAAAAGCTAAGAGAACTTCATTCAGCTTTGTTATTTCTGTTGTTATCATGGCTTTGTACCTGTCAATACACTTTTGTTACAGTCTGTTTGAAACTAAGCTAGGTAGAATAATTTTATTTACTTTGAAAAATGTATTAAGGTAGATTTTAACTGTAGGAAAAGGAGAGTAATATGTGAAAGAAACAGAAGTTTAACACTCATGTTGAAAAAGAGATGGAGTGCTGGGATGAGAAAATGGAAGCTGCCTCATTAATGGTATTGGCCTTTCTAGAAAATACAGTTCAAACTACACTTTTGTCAGTTTCTGAATGCATGTCTCTTGGTAACACTCTTGGTAGCAGCAGCCAGGAAATCAGGAGACGAATTGCATTGAGAAAGTCAGCTGTGAGGGACCTCTTGAGAGTACTGAAGAGCAACAATGTCAGGCTGGAGACTAAGGTGCGCCTGATCCAGGCTATAGTCTTCACAATTAGGTGCTATGCATCAGAGTTGGACAGTGAATAGGGATGATAGAAAGAGAATTGATGC